GCTGAGACCAGGACTGAGACTTGGAAGGCATCTGGGTGCCAGAGATCTATTTCTGTAGGCACGTATGGGCAGAGGATATTCTGTGTTGTCTTCGATTTGGGGAAGTTTTGATTTGTCATGTTCATCCTCTGCTTGGAGGTGAATCCAGGTGTCCTGAGTGTAAGGCCCTGAGCGGTAGTAACCCAGGGAGAACTGCCTGCCTTGGCTTTTTCAGTATCCCCTAGCTCTGAAGCCCTTTGGGAAGATGCTGCAAGCTGAGCTGTTCTCATTCTCATTCACTTGCATTCAGCCAAATGGAGCCCAGAGGATTATGGAGCCAAACTGTTGAGACGATACCGACAAAACTTAGTGGAGCTTCTCACAGACACCCAGACACTGCTGCAGGGCATCTCTGCTGCACAGAGCCTGCTTCCTCCTGGAGAGAGAGGTAAGCAGTCTCCTGCACGTGGGCAAGCAGATACTGAGTTTTAATCCCCATCTGGGATCCCTGTCAAGTCCTGAGGACTTGATTTAGTACCTGTCATGGCTTGATTTGGGGCAGTCCTCTAGCAGGACTCGGTTTAATGATTCCTTAGCATCCCATAGCAGGAGTGAAGCAGGTAATGAATATGAAGCTGAAGGTTGGCAAGTAAGAGTGGCTGATTTGGGCACTGAGGAGGCATGCTCAGCTTTGGAGTGAGTCGAGGAAATGGCTGATGTGTTTGGGTGAAGGACTGGGCTTCAATGCAGTCACTGCTTGGGTTGCACTGTGAGCCAGATCTTCAGCAGGGTGGAAGCAAGGGAAGGCTGGGTCTGGGGCGAGCCATGGTCGTGGCTAAGCGTGACACAGGGCAGATGGACGGGGTCCCTTGTTAGTGCCTCACTGTGGGTCTTTCCAAGGCAATGGAGCAAGTTGTGAAGTGTGAGGCCGGTGGTTTCGCCTCCCTCGTGTCGGCGGCACTGGACGAGCGGTCTCTGTCGGTCTCTGCCGTTTGGCAGCTGCTGCTGGCTGTGCGGGAGCCTGCACCGCTGAACCTGCTCATGGAGGAGATCCGGAAACAACCTGGCGCAGAGTTTTTCTTCCAAGCAGGTAAAGGCCTTGGTGTCCCCCCACACTCTCCCTGAGCTTCTCCCGCTGCTGGCAGGAGCTGCTTTCTAACTCCTCACCCTCTCCCCAGCCAGGAACCCCTTCTCTTCCAATAGGTCTCAACACCCGTGTCTCGGTGAAACAGTGGATTGGTTGGAAAAGCACTTCTGTCCGCAAGCGCAGCTGCTTTGCTTGTGGCTCTGTGCCTTCAGGTTTTGTAATGAGCAAACCTTTTGAGAGCTGGCCACCATCCTGCGCTAATAACCAGCTGGAGGCCCATCAGACTGAAAGCATGGGTTTCATCGGAGGTCTGTGTGCAGCCACCACCCTGTCCGCCCCAGAGCCTTGGCCTCTGGCTTTGAGTTTTCCTACTTTAAAACCTAAACTCTGTGTTTCCCCCAAAATCATTGCCAAAATCTCATGCAAGTGTGAGGAGTGCTCAGGTTGGTGGTATTGTGGGGCAGGAGAGGTTGGCTGTGCAGGGGCCGGCTGTGTGTGCTGGCCCTGTGGGCACAAAGCTGGCTTTCACCTGCCTGCGGTCAGATGCCTGTGGTGTAGCTGCCTCCGTCCGAACTCCTATTCTCCATCCCCTCCGTGCTTAGCCCGGAGAAACCAGCACTTCTGGCGCGTGGTGCATCCAGCCACTTTTTACGTGGCTGTCCCTGGATGAGGCAAATTGTGCCTAGAAATGCCTGTTTCTCTGCAAAAGGGAGAATGGGATGTCTATAATTGGGGGAGAGAAGAAATGCTGAGTCTTGGGAGAATCATGCCTGCCTTTTGAGGTTGTCAGTGTCTCTTTCAGCAATGTGCTTTGGAAAACCTGATCTTCTCACCCAAAGTTGGACAAGCAGTGAGAAGTGAGGTCTGCTAGGGTTTTATGCTGGATGTCAGTGCTGCAATTAGTGTAAACAAAGCTTGCCTGTAGTTGTTCGCTGTTTCCTATGCCCTAAAGAAGTCACTTCTGCTGTTAACAGCTCAGCTTCAGGAGCGGGCTAGACAAAGCTAAGCGAAGCTAAGGCCTTCAGGTTCTCCTTGGGTTTTGTGTTTTTAAATACCTTTACTTTTTATTTTCATACTCAGTGGCCACCAGCGAGAGCACAGCCATTGAGATCATCCTGCGGCACAGCAAGCTGATCTCGGAGGCCATCCAGCAGAGAGCGGACCTGGAGGGCTTGGGTCCAGGGGAGGCAGGACTCACAGAAGCAGTAAAAGAGGTACAAGGGGATGCTCTTGGAGCTGGCATGGTTTGGGGCTCAAAGGGTCGACAGACTCTAGCGTGCACTGAAATTGAGGGACGTTACTTAGGTTGGGGAAACCATCCAAAGTTGGATGTGCCCCTCTGCTGAAGTGAGAGTGTGTTGGGTGTTTTATATAAATTCTGTGGGAGTTTTAAGATAAAAGAAATTTCCAGTGAGATTCTCAGTTGGTGAAAATGTGGGTATTCAAACGCAGCAAAACTGTTTCAGCTCTGCAAGGGTGCTGAAGTCCTGGAGAAAGCAGAGCTGCTAGGGAGTGGGTTTCCATTTGAGTTGGCTGTTCCAGAACATATGAGAATGAAATGCTCCTAGCAAATGCACTGAGGATGCCATGATTGTGTAGTATCCCAGAGTGCCTTGCCTGTTCTCCCTTTGACAAGGAAAACGGGCTGTGTTAGTAACGAGCTGGTCTTTTCCACCAAGC